TTGGTAGTGATAGAATATATTATTCTTTATATTTCTAGCCTTGCATTATCGAAATGCCCTTCAGTTTGATGCCTTTGTGTGACTTTTGGTGAACCAGGTTTTTTCTAGTGTACAGGTGGTGCCCATGCCCACACCTAGATTATCAACAATACTGTAAAACTTGACCTGAAATTTTAGGTTGATATTCCTGGCCTTTCTCTCTCAACTTCCTTTAAGCTTTCAGCAATTGCTTGTTGGCCATTTATTAGAACACAGGATATTTTGAATTAAAAACTCACATAATTTATGTAATCCTAGCACTTTGGGAGGCTGAGGCGGGGGAATCACGAGGTCAAGAGATCAAGACCATCCTGGCCAACGTAGTGAAACCCCATCTCTACTAAAATACAAAAATTAGCTGGGTGTGGTGGTGTGCACCTGTAGTCCCAGCTAAGTGGGAGGCTGAGGCAGGAGAATTGCTGGATCCCAGGAGGCGGAGGTTGCAGTGAGCCGAGATGGCACCGCTGTACTCCAGCCTCTTGCCTGGTGACAGAGCGAGACTCAAAAAATAAAGTAAAATAAAATAAAATAAAAACTCATATAATTTAAAAGAAACAGGAACACCTAATGCTGAGAGGATGGAGAGAATAGCATATTCTCATACATTGCTGGTGCAAATGTGAATTGTTACAGCCTTTTGGAAAATAATTTGGCAGCTTGGTTAACAATTAAAATTCAGATTCCATTTGGCCTAGCATACCTCCTCCTAAGATTTCTTTTCTTAGAAATAAAACCACAAGTAAGGCCATATGTATAGGGATATTTATTGCAGCAATGTGCATATTGTCAACCAACTGACGACAAAATGAACATTAGTAGGGAAAGGCAGGAAAAATGATAAGTCCGTAAGTGGGATATTATGCTACATAAAGAAAAAATAATTAGACTAATACCTGATTAGTTTGAGAAATTTCCCAAGGTTTTGTTGAATGAGCAAAGAGAGATGCAGAAAAGTATATAATAATTTGTATAACCAAAAAATGATTTAAGAGAATTCTGTCTATATCATAGGCTCATGAGTATGAAGAAAAGTATTTAAGAATGCCTGCTAGGTGATTAAATGTTTACTTTGGTCAAGGGTGGGTCAGAGTAACTAGGGAGGTAGGTTAAATGCACCTAGGGAGGTAGGTTAAAAAAAATAAAAGGAGAATTGTTTTTTATTAAAAACAAAATTTGTCATCACATCTATGCATTATCTATAAAATTATATAAATATGTATGTTTAAAGATACTAAGTAAACATTTAAAATAAAACTAACCTATTTCCCAGCCTGGGCAACATAGCAAGACCCCATCTCTAAAAAAAAAAAAAATTAATTAAAATAAATTAGCTAGGCATAATGGTGTGTGCCTATAGTTCGAGCTACCCCAGAGGCTGAGGTAGGAGGATCACCTGAGCCCAGGAGTTTGAGGCTGCAGTGAGCCAATGAGCTTGCCACTGCACTCCAACCTGGATGTCAGAGTGAGATTCTGTCTGAAACAAACAAACAAACAAGTATTTCTTTTCTGAAAATGATGCTGATTTACAAACCTAAGTCTTCATGTAAAGTCCACTGAAACTCTTAGGAGCAGAAGAAGCCTAGTGGAGAGCCATAAAAACTTTTGTGTTAGACTCTAAAACAAAGAATCAAGGAAGTGTGTACATATACACATGCAATTAAACAAGCAGTGGGAAATTTACCTAAGAAACTAGAAGGCTAGAGTAAGGTGGTTTTTGTGGGTGATTGATACTGTTTTTCAGGGACTTTACATTCCTTTGATTTACTATTCTTGGTGTTGCCTTTGTGTTCAGGCATAACACAGGCTTTGTGTTCAGGCTGTAGTACTTCCAGCTATAAAATCCAACCATAGCAAAGTCCAGAGAGAGAAGGGTGATCTCTTCTTAGAGGTTTATCATAGGCTGTTTTTTAAAAAGCATTTGCTAAGACTGAGTTTGGGTTACAAGTTGATTATAATATTGTAGAGGAAGATGTTATTGGAAGCAGAAGCAGAATTAGAAGAAGTTGAGCTCCAATACAGGCCTGATGAAGGGGAACTCTAGGGCAGGATTGCTTATTTGAGTTGTCCCACGTTGGATTGAAATGCCTGGGCCTTTATTCTCTTTATGGTATGGGCTGCCATTGGCAGGGCATGACCTGTGGCAAGTCAGCTCCTGAAGGAATTGGTGTTCTGCTGACCATGTTCCCTGCTGCTACTGCTTGCACAAGTTCTTCCTTGAAGAGGAGATCTAGGTGGCATGTCTCCCTGTCCACACACTGTCTTAAGAATAAGAAAATATTTCCTGGAAGTCATCCATCAGATGTGCCCTCACATCTAAGTATTAGATTACATGCTGTATCAGAGAGTCATGGTTACGCATCGTGGTCTTTTTCTACTTCTTTAGTAAAGAGAATTCTGATGTTTTGGTGAGTACATGGTCATCTGGGATAATGGCTACATTTTTCAGCCTCCCTCTACCTGTAGACATGTCAGTAACTTCTGGCTAATTGAATGTAAGTTGAATTTTCATGTTTGACCTAACAGGGAGAGAGAGGGTGTACCCCTTGTTTTCTTTTCCTTCTTCCTGTTGAGTAGAATTTGGGTATAATAGCTGGAGCTTGAGCCGCTATCTTGGATTATGAGGTAGAAGCCACATGTCGGGGATGACTGAGCAATAGTATAGAGCAGCATTAGGTCCCTGATGATCATGGAAATGCCTTACATGCTCTGGATTGCTTACCTTTGGGTTTTGTTATTTTGGTGGTTAACCCATTACTGTTTAGGTTTTTCTGTCAGTTGTATTAGAGCCTCATCATATATATATACACACACACACATATATATATATATATATACACACACACATATATATATATACACACACACACACGATATATATTTACATAAATATATATATATTTTAAAATAGAGATGAGGGTGTTGCTATGCTGGCCAGGTTGATCTTGAACTCCTGGCCTCAAGCAGTCCTCCTGTCTCAGCCACCCAAACTGCTGTGATTACAGGCATGAGCCACCACACCTGTCTCACAGTTAATTTTAATTAATAAACATTTCTATTTTTGTTTTCCCCGCTCCGCCCAACTCCAATTGATACACATTTCTAATCAGACAGTGGCAAGGGGCATAGGAAAATATGATTGGCTTAGACTAACATTTTGGGGTGGAATGGATTTTGGGGAGTAAGACATGGATACATCTCTTATCAGGCAAGTACAGCAGAGGGAGAGAAAGGCAAGAAAATCAAAAGGTTTGCAGGATATGATTCTTGTGATGGACTATGGAGTCTTAACTAGGTAAGTGAGAAAGTGAAATGTGCGGATGCTAGGTGGTGAACAGTGAAGAAATGAATAGTTCAGTCGATCGGTGGTCCCCATGGGGCCGACGACTCATTGGAAAGGGGGAAATAGTCTAAATGAACTGGAGAGATGAGACAGTAGTCAGCGGTTAGGGTGCTTTGTTTTTGTGGTAATGTTGTTACTGATAATAACAGGAACCAGAGAAGGGGTGGCTAAATAGGTGTGGAGGAAGGATTATTAATGGTGCAGTTAAGAATGGAAAGGCTGGGTTTGGATGGAACATCTTTGATGTTGATGCAGATGAGTAGAAGACAGTGAACAATTCGCTAATATCTTCAATGCGTTAGAGGGAGAAGCTGGGAGATGACTCAGAAAGTAAGAGAGACAGATCCAGAAGCGAGCATGTGTTCAGAGAGGCTGGTGTTGTTGATGAAAAAGGGAAGAAGAATGACCTGGAAACAGCCATGAGGAAGGAAATAGCATCCTTCTTAAATAAAACAATTTTGTACAGCAGCAGATACTTGCAGATTACAATGGCTCATGCCTGCAATCCCAGCATTTTGGGAGGCCAAGACAGGAGGATTGCTTGAGGCCAGAAGTTCAAGCCTAGGTAACACTGTGAGACTCTGTCTCTACAAAAAATAAAAAAAACAAAACAAAACCCATAAATTTAAGAAATTTATGGCTGGTTGTGAAGGCTCAAGCCTGTAATTCTAGTGTTTTGGGAAGCTGAGGTGGGAGCATCTCTTGAGGCCAGGAACTCGAGACCAGCCTGGACAGCATAGTGATACCCCATCTTTTCCAAAAGAAAAAAAGATGACATAAAATACAAAGAAGAAAAGTAAACTGAGAAGATATATTTATAGCATGTTTAACATAGATGTGGGAGGTATCTTTAATATAAAAAGAGCTCCTAAACATTAATTTGAAAAAGATGACTTAGTAGCAAAGTAAGAAAAGAATATGGTATCTTAATTCACAAAGGAGGAAGTAGCACAGATGGTTAAAATATATGAGAAGATCTTCAAACATCAGGGTTAGTGTTATAGCATTTGAAACATTAGTGGGATATCAGGATATTCCTATTATATTGTCAAGACCTAAAAGTATTAGTAAACTTCACTCTTGGCACAAGTATGGGAAGCTCATGGAGGGGGTGGTAGATAACACTTCAGAAGCAGCAATGAGATAGCCATGATGGGTTTGTACTCTGTTGTGGCTTCATATGCTTGCTTGCCCGCACGGTTATGCTGTCCTCATCATTACAGTTTTAACTGCACTTGACTTATAACCATTTGATCTTATTTTTTAAAAACAAATTTATATTTATAAATAAGTTCTTGTGGCCATTTTCATCAAAAGTGTGATTTTCCCTTCTCAGCTAGAAAGATTTAGGTATGTTTTGTTCATTCCTGTTGGTTTTAATATTTTTCTATCTTCTTTTTGTATATGTGTGATAAGTTCATTTCATCTAAATTTATGCAAACTGAATATAACTATCTAGTCATTTTCCACTGGTTATAGTCTGGGTTAATGTACCCATTATGTTTAATTTGTATTGTATTAAGAATTAAGAAATATTAATATATGAAAATATATAACATATATAAAGATATATGGAATTGATATTGTAGACCTAAGTTTTCTTTTTTAATTTAAATTACAGACTAACTGGATCTTCTGGGTTTGTAACAGATGGACCTGGAAATTATAAATATAAAACGAAGTGCACATGGCTCATTGAAGGACAGTAAGTAGTAATAGCTGACTTAATTTTTGTTTTTTAGATTAGAGGTCAGTGTGACATTACTTTTCCTACAAGTCAAATTAATAATCTGTAACATAAAGTACTTAAAACATTTATTTGATATTTTTTCATTTGACAAGTGAATTTTATTTTCTTAGTCTTCATTAATTTAAAAGTTTAACGTTGATTTAATGCTGTAAATGAATTGAACACACCAGAAATTTGTGTATTTCCAACTGTAATAGTTTAGAAATGGTTACATATTTTTAATGGTTTGCTTAAAGCATTAGAAAATTAAAATATTGTGTTACTTTTCTAACTATTTTTATTGTGGATAAGAAAATTGTAATAACTGTTACTGCCTAAGTGATCCCTTCTCTGGACCCACTGTCCCTCTAGCTGTTCTCTTTTTTTCTCCTTGTCTTTATGGCAGACTTTTAAAGCCGTATTTCTCAATTTTTTTTTGGTCTCAGGACCTCTTTACACTCTTAAACTGTGAGGATTCCAAATAAGTTTATTTATTTATTTTTTCTGAAATGGAGTCTCACTTTGTGACCCAGGCTGAAGTGCAGTGGCGTGATCTAGGCTCACTGCAACCTCTGCCTCTTGGGTTCAAGCAATCCTCCTGCCTCAGTCTCCAGAGTAGTTGGAATTACAGGCATGTGCCGCCATGCCCAGCTAACTTTTGTGTTTTGTAGTAGAGACAGAGTTTAACCATGTTGGACAGGCTGGTCTTGAACTTCTGAACTCGAGTGATTCGCCTGCCTCAGCTTCCCAAAGTGCTGGAATTGCAGGCTTGAGCCACTGTCCAGCCCCAAATAAGTTTATGTTTAACTATCTCTATTCACCATATTGGAACTTACAACCATGAACTATTATTTATTTCTTTAAAAGCAACAATTATAAGCCCACTACATGTTAGTAAAAATGATATATGAATGAAAAAAACCCTATATTAGAAAAATTGTAGTGGAAAGAACGGCATTGTTTTACATTTTCGCAAATATCTTTAATGTCTAGCTTAATAAAAAACAGCTGCATTATCATATCTTCTGCATTTACTTTGTTGCAGTATGTTATTGTGGTTGAAGTGTGTCAGGAAAATGAGGCCTCACTTGAATATGAAGTAGGAAAAAAGGGATTTTAATAGTACAGTGTTTTAAAATAATTCTGTATAGTCTTCTTTGATACCATACCAAAACTTGACAAATAGTAATTTCTTTTTTTTTTTAAGAATTGTTGATATCAAACTTTCCCAAAACAAAGTAGTTATTTCTTAAAAGTAAATTGTAGTGTGGAATCTGAAACTGTGTGAAGGAACTTTTGGTACTTGTTAAATTAAAATCCATTGGTTTTCTTGCACTGAATGGATTTTTTGCCCATCCATGATTTGGTAACATGATATATAGGGCATTTGGAAAAGAACAGTTCATTGAATTATGCCGATCTTTCATATGTTGATATGTTGATATATTTGTTCCATTACATAGTATTTTAAAAATCACATTGGTTAACATCAAAAAGTCTCCTCTGCTTGAAAGCTTGTATTTTATCTTTGTCAGTGAATTCTGTCAGTTGTTTTCTTTGAAGTAACAGGCTTGCTTTGCTCATTTTTAAGAAAATGTCTGCCAGGTATCCAACTCTGAATAACAATGGTTTGTTGATTGTTCTTTTAAGTAAACATGGTAAATGATGTTCTGAGAAAAAAGTAGCTAGTTCAGCTTGCAGCTTAAACAATTGCAAAAGCGGTTTTCGTTGAGAAGATCACTGTGCTTCTATTAGGAAAGAGAAGTGTTTTATACTTGCTTTCCATCTTGTCACATAGAATATTAAAGAGATGTCTACAAATTGGTCAGGATTTAATAAAATTAGCAGTTTTTAACTGCTTAATCAAGATATACTCAAGTGAAACTGGCAGTTTTTCTCTTTTTGTAAGTGGTTGGTGGTGAAGAATAGCAGTGATCACTAGCACCATTTGCTGCTGCTGTCTTAATTTGTTCTAAGATGCCCACAGTTTCACTCACCATTGCTTCTTGCACCGTTAGTAAATGCCAGCATAGCGATAAAAGACATGATATCTTAGTTTTACTGCAAAGATAGTTTTGACCTCCTGAGACCCCCCCCATAAGGCTCTCAGGGCCTGTAGCATTTTGTGGACCTCATTTTGAGAACTGCTGCTCTAAGGAACTCTGCTCTGTCCTGTCAGTTCACTGCCACTTAACACCCCCCTCCACTGTTTTTCTGAATGTGCTCTCAGTGGTTGTTCTTCCTCAGTGTCAGCGAAAAACTAAGCAAAAAACATTCATTCCTCCTTTTCCTTATTCCCCACATTTAGCCTGTCGGTAAGTTCTGTCAGTTTTCCCTCCAGAGTGTCTCCCCAATCCATCACCAGACCCCTTTTCACCTCCATCTCTACAACTGGGAGACCCACCATCCTTTCCTCCTGGGCCACGTAGTAGCCTTGAAATTGGACTCCCGATTTCTGCTTTTGCCCCTTGCCCCACCTCTCACTTCTCATCTTTTATGATTTTCTCTGTTTGCTGTGTTTCAGGCATGCCGATTTTCTCCATGTTGCTTGGGCACATCAACCTCTTTCTCCCTTAAGACCGTGCTGTTCCCTCCATCTGAAATGTTTTTCCTGGGGCTTTTCACATGGCTTGTTTCTTGTCGTTCTCTTATGTCCAAAGCTTACCGGGCTATCTCTCTACTACTTTTTGTGCTGCCGCATCACCTTCTTTTAATTTCTTCACAGTACTCATCACTATCTGAGTTTACTTGTTGATGTACTTTCTTAGTTATTAACCTAGAGATATTAGCTAAGTATGAGGTAGAGGAAAGGTCTAAACTGGAGAAATAGAGTTAGGCATGAGCAGAATATAATAACGTTGTTATTCTCAGAGCTTTCTGAATGGAGTGTTGGGCTGAAGCCAGGCTAGAGAGTAAAGGGGTGAATGACTTAGAGGCACTGGAGAAAGCAAAGTCTTCTGTGAAGTTTTACCTTACTAGGAGGAGAAAGGGTATGGCAGGTATTTGGTAGAGGGAGAGTCGGCATTTGAGGCTTTTTGTTTTTATTTTTGTAAAATATGTGATACTTAAGCAGATTTAATTGTGAATGCAAACCTTCCAGATGAGGGAAATGCCAAATATTTGAGAAACAGAAGGAGAAGCAGATAGGTATAGAATTTTGGAAATTGTAATTTTAGGGTTTTTTTTTCAGTCTGGGTGCTGAGCATAAGCAGGGGGTTGGGACTGGGTGGTATGAAATAGTCATTGAGAGTAGCAGTTGTAGAGAGGGAGAAAGAATTGGTAGGACTGCTGGCAGAATCTAAGTTCCATTTGCAGTTGGTGAGCAGAGACCAACGCCAGAACTAGTCTACCCAGTGGTGTGGTGTAGAGGTATGGCTTTCTCCAGGAGAGCTTAGTTTTTTTTTCCCCCTCTGATTCAATCTTACAGCAGATAACTGGTTTCCTGTAGAACAGAGCTCTTGCCAGCCAGTGTCATGAAAAATCAGAGGGGCTGGCAAATTTAGTGGATTAGCAGGCGTGTTTATGAATGATGTAGTGTGGAATCTGAATTTGAGTAAGAAAGTGCAGAAATCGGGGGGCTGATGGATTGGTTCAGAAGCTGTTAAAGAATAGCCAGTGAATGGACTGTAAGGCCCAGAGTCATGGACCACATCAATTTTGCTTCCCATTGCATGTTTAGTAGTCTCTTGCACATAGTACTAAATAAATCGTTAACAAATGAAGGAATATGAGTTACATATTATTAATTTAAAAATCTGTATTTTTATATTCTCAAATGTCTGATAGTTGTGACGATAACTTTATTATAAATTACTTTTTTTTCTTCTTTTCAGGCCAAATAGAATAATGAGACTTCGTTTCAATCATTTTGCTACAGAGTGTAGTTGGGACCATTTATATGTTTATGATGGGGACTCAATTTATGCACCGCTAGTTGCTGCATTTAGGTAAGCTCAGTCATCTAAACATTTTTTCATCATTATTTGATTTCTAAATTTAAACATATTGCAGACCTATGTAATGTGCAGTGACTCATGCAATTAGCTTTCTGGGGATGAGCATTTAGATGGTTTTCAACATGTTGCCATCTGAAAGGTGCTGCGTTTAGGATGATTCTTGTATATTGGTCATTGTGTACCTGAGCAAGTATTTCTTGTACAAAGAAACAGAATTACTAGGTCAGAGTGAATGAGCATTTAAGTTGTCATAGACTTAAGTTGGTAGTGTGCTCTGTGAAAGCACAGAGGTTGGGTGAGTGAAGGGAAGAGTAATAGGAGATGGTTTGTTCATTGGGTAGGGCCTGGCAAGATCGTGTAGGGCCTGACAAGGATCTAGGCTTTTACTGAATGGGATGGTGGTGGTGAATCAATAATGGGGCTAAAGTCGTGGACACATGAAGAAATGAAGCAGGTAGGCAAAAGAAACATGATTAATCTCAGGAGTAAAAAGAACTCAGAACCACAATTTAAAAAATTGCCTTTTACTTATTAAATTAGCAAAATTCAAATAGAACTAGTAGTTCTTGTTGTTGGCAGAGTGAAGTGGGATGGACTGTTCATTCTGTATTGATAGGATTTCAAGTCACATATCTCTTCTGGAAAGCAAGTTGATATTATGGCTCTAGAGTCTTAAAGGCATAATTTAGATCCTTTTACTCAATAAGTGTCTTTTTTTTTTTTTTTTAAACCAGTCACTCAATGAACACTTATTTAGAATCTATTATGTGCTGGGTTGTGAGTGAGGCCCTAAGGAGAACCTAGGGAGCTTTTAATGACATAGAAAATGCATATATTTTATTTGTAAAATAGAATATACAATGTAAATAATATCAATTAGGCAAGGAAATTCATCAGAATGCTAACAGTGTTGGGGTTATGGGTGTTTGTTATCTAGCTTCTTCATATTTTTATATGAATATTTTATATAAAATATCTCAGGCGCGATGGCTTATGCCTGTAATCCCTATACTTTGGGAGGCCGAGGCAGGTGGATCACCTGAGGTCAGGAGTTTGAGACCAGCCTGGCCTACATGATGAAACCCTGTTTCTACTAAAAATACAAAAAAATTAGCCTGGTGTGGTGGCAGGTGCCTGTTATCCCAGCTACACAGAAGACTAAGGCAGGAGAATCCCTTGAACCCGTGAGTCAGAGGCTGCAGTGAGCTGAGATCACACCACTGCACTCCAGTTTGGGCAACAAGTGTGAAACTGTCTCACTTTCAGGTAAATTATGTAATGCAAAAGATTTTAATCTTTGCCTTAATACTTTTTTGTTTTGTTTTATTTTGAAAGATTAGCCTCTGTGGCTCCCCTTTTCTTGTCTCCCAACTTGAGATGTATGAAGGCTTTTGGTCTCCCTGAGAGTAGATGGAGGCAGCCAGGGCTTACCTGTACAGTAACTTGAGACCAGTTGAATTAAAGTGCATACCTTAAAAAAAACTCATGTCTTTCAGCAATATATATGTGGTATTCATTACTCATAAAATTTGTTACCTTATGTGATTGTAGAGGTTTATTTTTCAAAGGGGCCCTATAAAAGTTGCATAAGAATAGGACCATTGATTTCAGATGTTATTAGAAATATGACTCAGAATAAAGGAAGCCTAGCAAAAGATTCAGATCTGTTCCTCAGAGGATCCAGAACTAATAGGGTAGCACTATATATTTATCACAGGAATTTGCCACTCTTCCTGGATGTGGTTTTTAAATTAAAAGGTTGGATTTGTTTTTAATTTGTGTCTGCTACAATTTGACATATCTGTGCTTGTGCTTTACTCTGTAAGTGTGCTTTCATTTCAGTGGCCTCATTGTTCCTGAGAGAGATGGCAATGAGACTGTCCCTGAGGTTGTTGCCACATCAGGCTATGCCCTGCTGCATTTTTTTAGTGATGCTGCTTATAATTTGACTGGATTTAATATTACTTACAGGTAAGATGCTTAAGTCTAGTATTTGTGATTCCATTCAGAAGACTATCCACTGTGTTTTAACAACCATAATGGCTAACATAGATCGAGGGCTTACAATGTGCCAGGCATAGCATCAGGCAGTTTACATGAATTTTCTCATTTAAAGTTCTTCTATAAATTCAGTGAGGGTCTGGGCTCTGTTTTTTTACTCATTTATAATTGAGGAAACTGGCAAGAAAAGGTTAGGTAGATTGTCACAATAAGTGGTGGGACCACAATTTTAACCCAGGTGTTGCTGCTGTTGAACTTCTCCTAGAGGACAGGGACTTTTCTGCTAATGGATAAAAACATTGGAATTTTACAAAGTATAGCTCAACAAATAATAGTAGTTGTCATGTATTGAATAGTAGAAGAAATCTATACTCATTAAAGTACCTTGATAGTCCCTTATCACCCCCTTTTAAATTCTGAATTACATTGTTTCAAAGCACTGTCAGTAGTTATCTTAAGTTATGTTATTATGAGATGTATTACAGTTCAATTCTTTTTGTTTGTTTGTTTGAGATCGAGTCTCACTCTGTCACCTGGGCTGGAGTGCAGTGGCCTGATTTTGGTTCACTGCAACCTCCGCCTCCTGAGGTCAAGTGATTCTCCTAGCCTCGGCCTCTTCAGTAGCTGGGATTACAGGCGCTAACCACTATGCCCAGCTAATTTTCCATATTTTTAATAGAGATGGGGTTTCACCATGTTGTCAGGGCTGATCTCAAACTCCTGACCTTGTGATTTGCCCACCTTGGCTTCCCAAAGTGGTGGGATTACGGCATCAGCCACTGCGCCTGGCCGTAGTTAATTTCTTCCATTAAGTTAAACTAACCCTCCTTCTTCCATTTGAAATGAGTAGATAAAATTACTAAGGAGTTTTAAATATACCAATCTTGGCAGTAACCTCACATTTTATTAAATACAAATTTTCAGAGACTATACAGAGGAATATGTACCATGAGGATGGTAGTTTGTTGTTGGCAGTTTGTTTTACTCTTTTCCTTCCCAAACTTCCAAGCATGAATTCAGCAATTCTATAAAGCTTATCATTAGCAGGCTACCGAGAATAGGATAGTCATCCCACACTTGAGGAGCTAACAGTTCTGCACAAATCTCCTTCCTCCTTGTAATTTCTTTGACTTATTTGTTGTTATCCTCTTATGAGAATCCAGCAGAGTTGATTTGATTTCATTACTTGTACCTGAGGCTATAGCTGTATAGTGTTGAGCAAACCCATTTGGGCTAAATCCTTAAGTACTGCAGTTATGCTTGTGAATGAACTGAGACAGTGAGATTCTTAAACCTGTGTGGGAGGAAGTTCTGCTAAGTTAATCTGCCTTGTGTTAATGTAATTTTCCCTCCTATTTTTACAGTTATGACATGTGTCCAAATAATTGCTCAGGCCGAGGAGAGTGTAAGATCAATAATAGCAGCAACAGTGTTGAATGTGAATGTTCTGAAAACTGGAAAGGTGAAGCATGTGACGTTCCTCACTGTACAGACAACTGTGGTTTTCCTCATCGAGGCATCTGCAATTCAAGTGACGTCAGAGGATGCTCCTGCTTCTTAGACTGGCAGGGTAGGAGACTCTTTCATTTTTATTTTTCTTTAAATTTATAGAACATTCCCAGTTAAATAAATTATAGATTGACTTTATTCTTAGCACCCATATAATTTATGTTAATCAAATACCAGGTAGCATTTAAATTTGAAACATCCCTCTATCCAGCTGCTTATGAATTTCAATTTCTTTTTTTTTTTATTAATGTATTCACCTGGGTACAGGTGGGCTAAGGCCCAAAAGGGTGTTAGCCTGAATTTCAATTTCATACATGTGTGGTTGTGGTCTCTTTAGAGTTACGGAGGGTAGGACATTTTTTGCAACCTGTTTGTGAAAGTTGAAGAAGTTGGTCTTACCCATGAAAGGATGTAGCAGAGAGCCAAGCTGGAAGATGGGACAAGAGCTGACAATAATGATATTGCCTCAGAAACACACTCTAAGTTCAGAGAGAATTGTAGTCAGTTATATATTGGAATCTTAAACAAGTTAGCTAATAGCATTATCTACATTAATAATTAAAGAAGCTTTGGGGAATTTTTTAAGGGGTGGGTGATAGTAACTGTTAGTGATTTTATTTAGTGATTTTCTTTGTAAACTTACTCCTTCCTCAGAACCTGTTTATTTTGAAAGGAAATATGCTTGTTTACATACCTTAGTGTTGGGTTTGGCTGACATTGTAGAATTAATAATTGAAGCATTTCAGTATCTATCATTATGCAAATATTGCAGCAGAAGCTCTAAACCTCCCAAGAATGGAGTCTGTCTCTTCAATTTGTTTAAGTTTCTTGATTTACCAGAAGATGAATATTTTGTGTGATTACTCCGAGGTCTAATTATCACACTTATTCCTCCATCTCCGCAGGTTCTGCACCTGCAGATTCAAACAACCACATGTAGAAAATATTCAGAAAAAACACAATAAAATATGATACAGGCTGGGCGTGGTGGCTCACGCCTATAATCCCAGCACTTGGAAGCCAAGGCAGGCAGCTCACCTGAGGTCAGGAATTCAAGACCAGCCTGGCCAACATGGTGAAACCCCGTCCCTACTAAAAATACAAAAATTAGCTGGGCATGGTGGCAGGTGCCTGTAACCCCAGCTACTCAGGAGGCTGAGGCAGGAGAATGTCTTTGAACACTGGAGGTGGAGGTTGCAGTGAGCTGAGATCATACCAGTGCACTCCAGCCTGGGCCACTCTGTCTCAAAAAAATAAAAAAAAGATAATACAAGTAAAAGATATACATATGAAAATAATCATTTACATAGCATTTACATTGTGTTAAGTATTATAAGTAATCTAGAGGTGAGTTAAAGTATATGACGGGATGTGTGTAGGTTATATGCAAGTACTTCACCACTAGTTTGTATTAGGGACTTTGAGCATCTGTGGATTTTGGTACTGAGGGGGTCCTAGAGCCAATCCCCTGTGGGTATTGAGGAACAACTGTATATTTTATCCTTAAGATTTTTCATGTGAATTAATAATTTATTTATCAGGGCTTTCTCCTGAGAGTTGCTTAAGCAAGGATTTCATTACCAAAAAAAAAAAAAAAACCTAACCTTGATATAGTCAAGTTATCATTAGAAAGTATGTGATTTGCCCTTGGTCAATACCCCGAATAAATTAAAATAAAAATTAAAGGGATTTGTCTGACATTTAAATGCTAAATGAAAGACTAAATATTATTTAACTATTTGTTACATTTAGATGATTAAAACTTAAAATGCAGTAAGCTTTAAATCTGTTTTTTGTGAAGCTAATTCATTATGTTTTTATTAGGTCCTGGATGTTCAATTCCTGTACCAGCTAACCAGTCATTTTGGACTCGAGAGGAATATTCTAACTTAAAGCTCCCCAGAGCATCTCATAAAGCTGTGGTCAATGGAAACATTATGTGGGTTGTTGGAGGATATATGTTCAACCACTCAGATTATAACATGGTTCTAGCGTAAGTTGTTTTAAACATTTATGCAAGAAGCTTAGTTTTTTATTTTGAAAATTTATAAAGCACAGATAAGCAAAAATAAATCACTAGTAATTCTGCTACCTAAGGATAATCCCTGTTAATATTTTGGTAGTAGTCTTTCAAATTATTTTGACATATGTTGAGTTTTTAAAATTGAGTGCTACAAAAAATTCATTGTCATGATAAGCAATAATTCGTCTTTTTCAAATACTGTCTCTGCTGTTTTGCTTTAAGGATATGTAGTAGTAGTTTCTATATAAGTAGGGGATTATTTTATCTTTTAATTTAATTAATAGTTCCAAAGGTGAAATGGTTTTAATTTATAGATTGCTAGTGGAAATTACACCATTGTCTACTATGTCCCAGGGTTCCAGATCTATTTGCTGATCCCATGCTGCTCATTTGGAAGGGAGAATATATGTTGTTGTGGTGGAATTAGCTTTGGAGATGGACTGGTAGACAAAAATTTATAAACACTTAATCTTGCTGATTTTATGACTTGAAACTTTTTTCTAGGTATTTTCTGTTAATGAAGGTTGTCAAAAAATTAGCATCTGTTAATTAATGGATTCTGGAAATATATGGCAGTGTTGGCCTAGTTTCTGCATCTCTCCAAACATAGTCATTAAAACACATCGCATGACTAGTCTAGGAAATTTATAGAAACATGAGCAGCATCTGTAAGAAAACTTGGTCAGGCGAGGCCCAGTGGCTCATGTCTGTAATCTCAGCACTTTGGGAGGCCAAGGTGGGCAGATCACTTGAGGTCAGGAGTTTGAGACCAGCCTGGCCAACATGGTGAAACCCCTTCTCTACTAAAAATACAAAAATTAGCCAGGTGTGGTGGTGGGCATCTGTAGTCCCAGCTGCTTGGGAGGCTGAGGCAGGAGAATTGCTTGAACCTGGGAGACAGAGGTTACAGTAAGCCAAGATCATGCTACTGCACTCCAGCCTGGGCAACAGTGAGACTCTGTCTCAAAAACAAAAAAAACTTGGTCAGAAGGTAACTATGAATGGGTGAGGCTAAATCATTGATAGCCATAGACTTGTGTGGTATCAGCATCTGTGCAGGAGTGAGCAGAGGGGAGCAATGGGAACACCAATGGGATCCAGAAGATTCTCACTCAAAAGCTCAACAAACTGATTGAAAACAGCTGGAATTGGAAAGAGTTTTGTATATTCTAGTAACAAGGTGGGTAACTCAATAACTCAAGGTTTCCATAGTAGTATCTGAAGGGGCTGGAGCAGTTTATACCTTACTTCTTCTCAGAATAAACCAGCCAAAGTATCTTTGAAGGAGAAAGTTTCACACTGAGGAAGAACTGCTGGAAGTAGAATTCAAATTGAACATGACAGGGATAGTAGAGACAAAGTAAAAGTTGAAATAACAGTCAGAGGGAACAGAACCAGGCAGTCTCAAGTATACTGCCCTGTATTTGAACAGTATATTAAAACAATGGAAGAGTGAGTTTGAGAGCTGAGAAGTTAGAAAACCTGTACTACACCTGGCCTCCTTATAAAAGCTCAGAGAAAAATACTTTCATTTCAAATTGAGCAACAGAAGAATATCAAGATCAAATCTCATAGAAAGTTATTATTTTAAAAAAGGGAACACACAGTAGAACAAACCTCTTCATACATGAAAGCATTAACAGTAGAAAATATCCTCACAAAACTGATGAAAATTTTAACTCAGTATTCCAAAACAAGAAAATGATACAAGAGACAGGGTGCCATGGCTCATGCCTGTAATCCTAGCACTTTGGGAAGCCACACAGGTGGATTGCTTGAGCCAGGAGTTTGAGACCAGCCTGGGCAGCATGGTAAAATCCTATCTCTACCAAAAATACAAAAATTATCCAGTCTCATAACTGGGTCTTAAATATAAATAAATAAATAAATAAATATTTTTAAAAAAGAAAATGGCGTATGAAAGAAAAATATAATCAGAACTTAAAATTTACAAGTGAGGTGATTGAAGTTCTGACAGAATATAAAAATTTTAGAAATTCAGAATTAAAGAGAAACTTAGAAGGACACAGAGTAAATAAACACAGTAGTTACTACTTTAGAAATAGAATATGAAAGGAGGAAATTATTTAAAATTATAAATGAAGGCAGGGCTCCATGGCTTATGCCTGTAATCCCAGCACTTTTGAGAATCTGAGGTAGGTGGATCACTTGAGTCTTGGAATTTGAGACCTGGGCTATATGATGAAACCCCATCTCTACAAAACATACAAAAATTAGCCAGGTGTGGTGATGTGTGCCTATAGTCTCTGCTACTAGGGAGGCTGAGATGGGAGGATCTATTTAGCTTGAGACGTTAAGGCTCCAGTGAGCCATGATTGTACCACTGCACTCCAGCCAAGGCAACAGAGTGAAACCCTGTCTCAAAAATAAAAAGGATTGAGGGTCAGTTTTCCCACTTTTTGTGGTAAGTATAGTTAAAAATCCTGGACACTATATATAAAACAAGCGAGAGCTCTGAAAGTTAGAGAGAAGATGGCAGTCCAGCTAGGGACTTTAGAGTGCAAGGAATGAACAGCAGTGAGTTCCAGGGATTTTCTTTTTGCCTCATATGTCCTACATGTGATTTGGGGGAGGCTGGCAGTCTGGAAATGCCACAAGACACAAGTTGAAAAAGCCCCAAGAAAAGCATGTTTTCTCTAGCTTGAGTGCCAGGAAAGGGGCAGCATAGAAAGACAGAAAACTTTTGGACAATAACTCCTGTACTTCACCCACATACCACAGAAATATGGTCCCACCTCCATACACACCAGCACAGTCTGAGGAGAGAGCCTAAGTTTCCACCCTTGCCAGAATGTAGTAAGGGATTCCAACACCCCTCCCAAGGCAGTGTCAGAGAAGACCAAGTTAGGGGCTGGGACTTTTCTTACTGGTGGAGACCAGGCCATACTGAGCCGTCCCTCACCTTTATAACATCAGCGGAGACCACATGGGGAGCCTGGACTTTTCCCACCTGGCAGTAACCGCAGTAAGGAGTCAGTCTTCCCCATGCCCACTGGGGTGGTGTCAGAGGAGAACTGCTGTAACAGAAGATTTAAATAAGATCCAGAGTCTCATGACATGAGACCCAGAATGTTTGGGTTTCAACGGAAAATCATTGATAATGCCAACAGCTAGGAAAATTGCAACTTGAGTGAGACAAGACAATCAGAAGAGCCACTGACATGGAGATGACATAGATGTCAGGATTGTCTTGACAGAGATTTAAAAGTCACCATCAGAAAAATGCCTTGATGAGCAGTTCTGGACACACTGGAAACAAATGAAAAATAGAAAATGTCTCACCAAAGAAATAGAAGATAAGAATCAAGTGGAACTTTTTTTTTAATTTTTTACTTTTGAAGTGAAAGTTTTAAAACTGAAAAATATAAGATAAAAACCAAGACAAATCTCCGTGGATGGGCTCTACAGCAGAATGGAGAGGACAGAGAAAACAAACAGTTAACTTGAGGACAGAACATTAGGAATTCCTCAGTCTCAGGAACAGACAGAAAATAGATTTTTAAAAAAATTAACAGAACCTCAGAGACCTGTGGGACTGTCACAACCCCAACATTTCTGTCCCTGAAGGACTCCTGGAAAGAGAGGAGAGAGAGGATGTATCTGAAAAAGCACTTCAAGAAATAATGGCTGAAAAATTTCCAAATATGACAAAAGACCTGAACCGACAGAATCAGGAATTCTTGTGAACTCCAAATAGTATAAACCCAAAGAAATAGACACCAAGACCTATCAGAGTCCAACTTCTGAAAACTAAAGAGAAAGAAAAACTCCAAAACATAAGTGAGAGAGAACTTAACACTTACAGGAACAAATGAATTCAAATGACAATGAATTTCTTGTCCAAAACCATGGATGTCAGAAGGAAGTGGGACAACATTGTTGAAGTGCTGAAAGAAAAGGATTGTCAGTGTAGAATTCTATATTCAGTGAATATATCGTTCAGGAAAGAAGAGAAGATTGGGACATTCTCAGATGAAGAAAAACTAAGACAATTTGTTGCCAGCATACTTTTCCTAAAAGAATAATGAAGGAAGTTCTCTAAACAGAAAGCAAATGATAAAAGAAGGAATCTTGGAACATTAGGAAGAATGAATGAAAATATCAAAACTACTGGTAAATACAATGGATTTTCTGTCCTTCTCTTGAGTTTTTAAAATTAGATTTAATGGTTGAAACAAGTAACATAAAATAACTTGGAAAATTAGAAGAACACACCAAAATTTGTGAGTAAAATGTGCAAAATGCACTTACCTGTCTCTGTTTTTTAATTTGTTCTACTACCGGGCAAGTCTTGTGGATTCTTTCCTACCCATGAAATGAGGGATGCTGAGATGGGGAGTGGGCTTCATAATGCCTAAGGTTTCTTTTCTGGCACAATTTTAGAAACCTTGTACCAAAAGTATGATCTAAAAAGAAAATTAGATGTAACATGTATTACATCTCTTTAATATTCTCCATTTGAAAAGGATTTGAAAGCATACTTCAGGTTTTCTGTATATGTTCTTGATATATCCATACAACCTCTCTCAAAATTCACAGGTTAGAGGAAAACAAACTCCCTCTGGAAGACCATCATTTTAAAATTTTTTGTTTATTTTTTAACTTTTAGATTCAGGGGTGCATGTGCAGGTTTGTTATGTAGGTAAACTGTGTCATGGCAGTTTTGTGTACAGATAATTTCGTTGCCTGGGTATTAAGCATAGTATTTTTACCTGATAGGTATTTTTTCTAATCCTCTTCCTCCTCCCACCCTCCACCCTCGAGTAGGCCCCAGTGTCTGTTGTTCCCCTCCTAGTATCCATGTGTAGATTATCATTTTTAATACTAATAATCCTATATCTCTAAACTGGATGATCTGAAATTACCTTATATTTGTTTTCCTGCTCTTAATCCTGATTTGTTTTCCCCAGGTGCTCAAGCTGAGATTGTGAAGTCCTTTTTCAATTTCC